TTGGATGCGACCGGTCGCGTCCGGCCCGGCCGACTGGACGCGAAAAAAAATAAAAATAAAAAATAAAAAATTATTTAAAAGTAAAAAAATATAAAAAAAAATACATGGTCAATCATCAATGTCTTACTGATGTCATGATATTCTTTTGGTATTTTTTGAAATTCTTTTGAGGTTAAAAGAGACGTAGAAAATCGAAAAGAAAAAAGTAGAGAGAGAGTAGAGAGAGAGTGTGAAGGGTAAAAACATAATTAGGGGTGGTGACTAGTAAAAGGAGGACGATGACTAGTAAAAGGGGAGCGGTAAATAACGATTCACAAAGCGCAACCTTTGGAAAGTCGCTGCTTGTGAAGACAACGACTTTTTAGTATAGTTTAATTTATTTTTTTCATTTACATATTAATCTTTGTTTTTAGTATTATTATTGTTTACTAAAACTTGTACCCAAACCCAACGAACTCATAAAATAAAATAGTTTTGCTATGGAGTCAATTTCTTATATAATTAAAAATATAATATAAATCTAATTAACAATATAATTAACAACTACTTATTAAAAAAAATATTATTTCTAGTTAACAACTACGTAATAAGAAAATATAATTAATAACTACTCAACCACAATGAAAATAAAAACACTTATATTTCTAAATTTAAATTTAAGAAAATAAATATACAAAAAAATTGTACTATTTTTCAAATTATATAAAATTCTTAGTTGTCATATTTTACTATTAATTCTAATGTTTAACTAAAATGATTCAAAGAAATTTTAAATAACTTGTCTAACAATCAAATGATAATTATATATCTATCCTACCACATAAAAGACTAGAATAATTGTAATAATTTTACTAACAAATCTAGGATTAAAATAGTAACAATAAATAAAAGGAATAAACGACTAAATTAAAGATCTTATTGATCTTTTTTCTCAATATCTCTATTATTCTCCTCCTCTCGAAAAGGATTCGCCCTCGAAGGCTCGAATACGATGCAATCTCGTATTCCTCTGCTCCACAATCCCGACCGAACCAACTTTATGGACCGATAATTTAGTATACTTCTGAGAAGAAAAACGAGCCTTGTCAAACATTAATATTTTCCATCAAGTTGCGGTTGTTACTTAAAGAACCGAGATCCATTTGTGTTTTGACCACTATTAGCCATGCATAGAAGACAAGGCTCTTTCACGGGCCAAAGGCAGAAGATCCATTCGCTAATCACAGTCTTTGCATGTAAAATAAGATCCTTTGAAACCTCTGGTCATATAGATGATTCTTAAACCACATGGTGCTCGTCCTCAATAGATGCTACATGTGGCTCCTCGTAAAAAAACTTGTGGACCCTCATAAGCGGTCAACATTCGCTCATCAAACATAGGTGGACCCACAAACTCGGTCGACCCATGCATATCGTATAGAGTTGGACCCTCTTCATAAAAAAATTGCAAGACCTATATATTCGGTCGTCCCCTCGTCATCAAAATGAGGCGGACCCTTATATGCGGTCGACCTTTGCTCACTCGCACAGGCCCTTGAATAGTCGAGGACGGTCTCGATCGTAGCCTTCCGATCTAGGAATTTTGATGCATTCAAGCCACCGATAAATTCCGGGGCATCAAAGCGAAATGACGAATCCCATCGACGCTCCCGTGTCGAAAAATCTCCATCCCGAGATGGATAGCCAAAAGGGTTAACATCGGATAGGGTGTCATCGTCATCACCTTCTCCGACCCACAGTGGAGGCGACCGAGTGTGTGCATCCCACCGCGTCCCCCATCGTGGGCGCGGTTCGTTCGATCGTGTGGTGCAGCAATATGACTAGCCAACCTCTACTTGAACCCCTCGGCGAAATTTGTTATCCGACGATCCATAAGATAGAATTGCGACCGAAACCCATGGCCATATCCGCGAATTGGCGTCAATAGTGTATGTCCTCTTTCGCAGCATCTTGGAAGATACTGAACTCTGGATACCAACTAACATAGCAAAATCGTACGAAAGGGAGAACAAAAGATAAAATCTTAAGACAATATATTTAATTCGTAAGCTTCATCCCCTAGAACACTAGAAGATGAGTCATTTAATTAGAACTCCTAAAAGCCCAAAATAAATAACTTGTCTAACAAAAAAAAATGATAATTAAATATATTTCCTACCAAATAAAAGACTAAAAAAATTAAATAACTTTATTAACAAATCTAGGATTAAAATACTTACAATAAATAAAAGAATAAATAACTAAATTAATAGGTCCTATAGATCTTGTTGTCTTTATCTCCATCACATATGGAAGACAAACAAGGGTGACCTAAATTAGAGCACAAGAAGCAAAAAAATTAAAATAGTAAGAGAACGACAAAAAAAAAAAAAGACTAAAAGGCGACAAACACAAAGCAACTAAGGAGCAACAAGGCAAGAGACAACAAATATCGAAGACAAAACCCTAGAGGAAGAATCACAATTGAAAAATCGAAAGGATGGAACTCTTAACTCTAGAGAGAGAAAAAATTCACCAAGTGAAAGGGCCTAACTTTACTTAGCCTTTTTGAGTTTGGAGATTACTTGCAGGTAGAAATTTTTAGCAAACAAAACACTTTTTAGTGGCCACATAAGCATTCAATTGATATGTGTTCTAATTCTAATAAATAAACTGATGTCATTAATTGCCAAGACAAAATAGCTCGTTATATCACGATCTTTTTCTCAAATTGCAAAAAACTTCACGACGTTTGAACCTTGGCGTAAAATATCATAACCTTTGATTTCTTTGCAAAACGATATACTGAAGTCAGAAACCGATCATCGATGCTTACGTGTTCCACCAACCTTTTTATTACGTGGAATTAAAAATTAGACTTGTAAAACTTAATTTGATGTGGTGCTGACATGGAAAACTTGTATAAATTATAGTAAAGTCAACAATGTCTATTGTCTTGTATCTTCACCTACATTCCAAAAAAAAAAAAAATACACACACACACTATCGAAAAATGCAGAGACACCAAGCCCGCTCTTCCCTTTATTACCATGGCAGCCACACAGGCTTTCTCCTTTGACAATCCACCACCACCTCAGCTTTCTCTACACCAAATTACAATGTTGACTCCTTTCCCTTTCTATATCTTCCTCACTTTTTATATTTTGGTTTTGACTCTGCGCGATTTGGAAGTGTTCTAGCCGCGTCAATCAGGGGCGTAGCCAGGATTTTTTTCTACCCAGGGCTGCTTAACATTGAGCTATTATTCGGATCAAACTATTCACGAACACAATTCATATTTGGCACGTGAAAGCTCGAACTCAACTATTTCATACACTTCAAAGGCTAAGCTCGAATACCTAATCAAGCTTGTTTATTAAATAATCACAAGTTCGAACATGAGATATCCCGCTTGCCTCGGCTCGAATAACATCTTTAGCTAGATGCCATAAGAAACCAATGTATGAAAATAATTCTTTTTAATATTCAATACAACTTACATGAATTACAAAGTTAAATGAATGAAGGTGTATTTTAAGAATCCAATGAATGCCAAATCCAAATTATTAAAATCCATAAGTCGAATCACAAAATAAATGTTCTATTGGAATTCTAGAAGAAACAAAATATACAAATTAAAATATAAATTAATTGATATATTCCATATGTAATGTAATATAAATTACATGAATAACCAATATTATTTCAAATAACATAATTCAATATGATTCAACCAAAATAAAAAAGAAAACAATAAGAAGAAACACAACATGTTAAACGATAAAAGAAAGTATATATATTTAAATATGCAAATTTTAGCCTATACAAATCTGCAAATTTTATATCATGTCCAAATATGCAAATTTTAGCCTATACAAATTTAAATTTTATTATCTCAAATGTTTAGTTGTACTTTCATCAAATAACTTTGTGTCCAAACTAAGTATATTTTTAAATTTTTCATCACAAATCAATTCCTATTAGCTCTTGATCATTACATAACATAAGAAAATCACTATTAAAACAAACATTAATTAACTATCTTCTTAAAATTTGTAAAATAAAATTAGAATAAGCAATAATTTGTGTATGTTTTTTTATTAAAAATGCTCAAACCTCTTCTACTTTTGAGATGAAAATTAATAAATTATTGAGTTTCTTCCTAAAAACATATAAGCTAAATTAGGTTAAGCTAATATTTAAATAGGGCTACAAATAAATAATCTATACTAAACTAAAGAAGAAAAAAAATTACATGGGGCTGGAGCCCACCCTTGTCCAAGGGTGGCTCCGCCCATGGCGTCAATGGCAACGGAAAGCATCGAGGACCCATCTATGGTAAGGCGGACCCACAAGGATTGCAAGCCCGACCCGAAAAAAATTAGCCCACTCGTTGCTCCTCGAGATCTTGTCGTCGAGCACGCCAAAATGGGACGCCCTCTTCAGTGAGCACGAGGAATTTGGGGACGGCCCCAGTAGTGAAATAAGGCAAGGAGGAGCAGGAAGTCCGTCCCAGCGGCTTCATCCATCTCCCCACACCGGCGGGCTGGTCGGGCTGCTTCTAGTCTCGGACCGACTGCTCATTCGACGCCATCGAGAGTGGCAACTCCACGATTGGGGACTTCCCCTGGAAAATTTTATGCATAGGCGGGGGTGCCTCGCCGGTCAGCCTAGTGGAGTTCACTAACAAACGACGCCCCCGACGGCATGGCGGAGGACTTCTACTAGTGAGCTTGGTCAACGGGTACAACGCGATCCTGGTGCGGCTGTCATCCGGCGACTATGCTGGCTGCGTGGTAGGATGTCGAGACTTGAGAGAATTGAGGGAGAGAGAAAATTAGGGTTAAGTAGGAATAAATTGGGGGAAGGAGATAAGAGAATTGGAAAAGAAATTGGGCTATGTTTGCTTGTTTTCTATATCATTCAACACGTGGGACAAATATATACACATCAGATTTTTATTTCAGGTTGGTCTGACACGTAAGCATCGATCGAATGGTCGGTTTTTGATTTCGGTGTGATGTTTT